ATCTCTCTCTCTCTATCTATCTCTCTCTCTATCTCTCTGTTTCTCCTTTTCTCTCTCTCTCTCTCTCTCTCTCTCTCTCTCTCTCTCTCTCTCTTTCTCTCTCTCTCTCTCTCTCCCTTTGTCTCACTCACAAGGAGACATCCGGACTGTCGTAGCTGTAGATTGGGTCGTTGGTCAGATAGGTGAAGGACGAGCCATTTCTACGCACCTCGATGTTCATTTTGATACCTGTTAGAGTGGATGTACATCGACACAATAAAGACTATGATGATACCTATGCATATCGGTACAATAAAGACTATAATGATACATATTATGCATATCGACACGATCAGGACTATAATGATACCTGTACGCACATTGACACAACAAAGACTATGACGATGTTTAATGCACATCGACACAACAAAGACTATCATGATACCTGTATGCACATCGCATCGACACCACAAAGACTATCATGATACCTGTATGCACATCGCATCGACACCACAAAGACTATCATGATACCTGTATGCACATCGCATCGACACCACAAAGACTATCATGATACCTGTATGCACATCGCATCGACACCACAAAGACTATCATGATACCTGTATGCACATCGCATCGACACCACAAAGACTATCATGATACCTGTATGCACATCGCATCGACACCACAAAGACTATCATGATACCTGTATGCACATCGCATCGACACCACAAAGACTTAGAGGAAGACTATTTTATTATTTTTTAATCATTTTTTTAAACAGGAGTGACACCCACCGGCGTAGTGCATGTGGTTCCAGGCGGCCGTGATGCTGATAGGTCCTCTTAGGAGTTGTGCTGTGCAGGCGGGAGTGCATGTGCTGGAGACACCGACCTCCTGCTGTCCAGGGGAAAGGTAGAACTGGTCCGAGCCGGTGATCAGCATACCCGCATCATTGAGACGTCTGATCGGATGTTATAGGAATGATGATGATAATGGCGATAATAGTGATGGTGATGATGAGAAAAGAAAATGTGTGAGCTAAAAATGATGATGATGATTATGATCGTTTGTTTTGTTTTTTATAATTATTATCGTGTGGCGTCGGTGGCTTAGTGGTTAGGCTCTCAGAATCGCTACTGTAATGTCGTGGGTTCGAATCTCGTCAGGGAACCGACGTGTCTTTGGGAAAGGCGCTTTACATGAATTTTCCTCATTTCACCCAGGTGAGAATGGGTACCCAACTATAGGCAGTGAATGATCTCGTTTATTTTAATAAGTGTTTTATGGGCCTTGCAACAAAATACGGCCAGTAAGTGCCGAAGATTAGAGGTGTTACATGAGAGTAACAAACATAAAGCAGAAGGAAGAGAGATAAGGACGATAGATGTTTGATAGGAAAGAAGAAGCAAACCACACCAGAGCACCCGTTAACCACCCACAATGGTCTTGTCAGTTTGGTAGTGTTTGGGCGCTTAGTCAGCTGCTTGCACTGTATGCTTCCAGGGAAGCTGGGAATGTTTCTGAGTGTTCTATGGTCTGCTGAGATACTAATATAGTGTAAAACACATAGAGCTTGCTGTAGAGCGGGGTTATGCGTTATATAAATGCTATTTATTTTTAGTAGTAGTAGTTGTTGTAGTTATAGTAGTAGTAGTAGTAGTAATAGTAGAAGTAGTAGTAGTATCATCATCTTCATCATCGTCATCATAATCATTATCTTTATCATGCAATACGTGTTGTATAATATTCGTTCAGCGAATGTACTGACCTGTTTGGTGTGTAGTGTATTTGCATCCCTGATGCGTCAGTGAGACCTGCTCGCTTTTCCGGGTTGTTCCAATGAAACTGTCAAGAAGATGAAGGTCATTCCAGGTGAAAGTGTCAAATAGATAAGGGTCATTTCATTTGAAAGTGTAAAATATATCAGGGTCATTTCAGATGAAAGTGTGAAATAGATCAGGGTCATTTCAGTGTAACTGTAAAATATATCAGGGTCATTTAAGCGAAATTGTCAAATTATAGGGTCATTTAATGTCGTTTAAGTGAAAAAGTCAAATTACAGGGTTATTTCAGGGAAGCTGCCAAATGCACCAGGGTCATTTAAGTGAAAATCTCAAATATTATATCAAGGTAAATTCAGTGAAACTGTAAGGTTACACGATCATTTCAGTGAAAATGTAAAATATATATTTCATAGCAATGCTCCAAGCCGAAAGATCGAGTTTCTCGATAAAAACTCTCTACACATAAAAATCGAAATCACGCCTTCTGCGTACAAACCGCTAAACCCTACGCCACAGACGCTGGTCGTGGAAAAGCAAAGTGCAATAGTGTCACCAGGTGGTGGAATCAGGCGCTTGTCAATTTTTGGGCATGTGGAGCTATTAGTTTCATCTAAAAATGTGTTCATTTGTCGTGCTTTTGATGAAAAAAAATACCCATCTATCTTAAATAGAAGTCAAGACATTTGCTATTAAATGAGGTGATGTCGCCTGATTTCAATGGTAAAATTAGTGAGAAAACGGCTGCTAAAGTTCCAAATCTTTAGAATCCTTGGAAACTACACATTTACAATGGTTGCACCTTTAGTCAACGTTTTTCGGTAAAAATCCACACGTAAAAGTGTCTTTAAACGGACATTAAAGGTGTTGGGCCCCCCCAAAAGAAAATTTGAACAAAATTGCCCAGAGACCAGAAAAATGCCGGTTTCTTTGATTACATTATTTTGACGAGCGCCTGATTTCACTGTGATTGTGATGCCTCACAATAGAGTTATTCCCATGAAACTGTAAAATATGTTTGGGCATTTCTCGTGTACCTGTAAAATGCCATCACTAACATCAACCCTCCCCCCCCCCACCT